AACCCCTATGATTCTATGATTCTATTTAGACAAAATGTGTTACTATCATTATGTCATTTGAGGGAGGGAAGATTAGGTACTACAAAATGGGCTACAGAATACATAAAACAACAGATTGGGCAAGAATTTCTTTCTGATGACACGCTGGGGTGATCCACATCCATTTCATAACAAAAGTATTAAAAATATTTTATTACTGACATAACTAATCTTATTACCTTTTTTACCTTTTATGTTTTTGCAAATATAATAAGGGAAGACCAAAGTTCAGCAACCCCTGATACAGAAAAATATAGGAACCTTAACTATTTTACAAGCATCTTCTTCTTGTTTATTTGAAGCTGATAACTAGCCTCACCTGGGAAGAACTATAATGTGAGCATCCTGAAATTCTGGGGTTTCCAGAGATAGCACAAATTGTCCAAACAGTCAGTTAAACTGTAGTGTCCAGAAAGACATGGAGTACAGTCAATTGGAGTGTCCATGGATCTAGTCATCAGCAAATATTTTCTAACCATAAGAAAAACCTTTCACCTTGAGAATCATTCCTTCTTCCTCATGCACAGAAGGAAAGTTGCTATTTCAGAAAATAAATGGCTGCAAGGCAGTAGGTGTCCATTACAAATAGAATTGCATCGACTATTATGTGTTAATATGGATTTTGAGACACTAACACTAAGCTTCAATCAATGAAACCAAATACTTGATAAGCTTTTCAGCATTCTCTTAATTGAAGAAGAAAGCAACCTAAAAATATCTTCAGCATGTAAGCTGACTCCCAAAGTAATACATATGTTAAAGCTGTTAATACTTTCAGAAGCATGAATACATTTGCAGCACGACCTCACTTCTCTACAGTGTCAACAACCATATTTAAAAGTGGATGATCCTACCCCCCACCCCATAGTGCAAATGACAACTTCAGTATTAAGTGGTTTAATATTTTGAAAAAGCTCTTATAAAAGCACTTCAGCGTACATTTAGTGACTCCATTTTAAATGTTAAGAGTCTGGTCAGACTCCTTTAAAATGTGTTTTTGAAGTAGTGCTTGTATGAATTAATTCAGACATGCTTTTGGAGAAACTTTTTTTTTTTTTTTTGATCCACACAAAGCGAGATGGAGCAAATACTTCTGACAGAATTTCATCAACTCACTTCGAATGGCACATAATCACCAGGAATCTTTCCCAGCATATCATCAGCCAATCTGGCTACAACTGCCTCTCGAGTTTCAGCTCCTCCACTAGAGCTATCTTTAGGCTGAATACTGAGGATGGTGTCCAACACGTCTCTGGAAAGTTTACTTTGGTAAGTGATATCCGCATTGGGGTGCAAACCAAACACTTCTGGTGTGTCGTATGCAGGAAGACTCTACATAGTAAACACAGAAAGAGCACAGCTGAAGATGGATTTATTAGCTAATTATTATTTTAAAAAAAAAAACACACCAACAATGAACAACAAAAAAGCCACAACAAAACCAAATAACAAACACAAAAAATCCCCAAGCCCCTTACGTTATAAAGTAAGAGGCTAGGTCTCTTCAAACAGTCTTAGGGCAAATAACTTACTGTGATCTTGTTGTCACGTCACAGCCCAAATCACACCAAGGATAACAACAAATTCAGTTTTAACCTCTAAACACTATTTTAATAGGCAGCTAGTACTTTCATATATCTACACATTTTATTTCTATGAGGTTGTATTCAATGTCTCAACTCCACTCTTTGCCCTCTTTAATAACTGTATGATGTCAGGTATGTCCCTCAAGCAGATCACATGAAAAAAAAAAGATTCCTGTCATGACATGCTATGTTTCTCTGACAATGATAAAATTGACAACAACAATTAGCTGCCACTAATAGATATACAGACTGTTAGAAAGTAAAAAAAAAAACAAAACTGTGACTAAAAGACAAAATGCAGGTACTCAGAAGAAAAGACAAAATATAGGGACTCGAGAACCTGTGAGAAACAAGTGAATTGGGTTTTCTTGTGTTGAAAAGCTTTCATTTACCAACCTGTATGTACTGAAGGTATTGATCCACCACAGTACATTTGGGTATGCCGTATCCTTTGTAGAAGCTGAAGTTCTGACTGAATGTATTTTCACTGAACCAAATGTTTACAAAGGTATTCATAAGTCTTTTGTCATAGTCATCTGTCACACGGCCACCATACTGGATCTCACCTATCATGTAACACATGGTACTCCAGGAGATGCCCTAAAAACAAGCAAAATACAGTAACTTAAGCTAATCCTCTTCTTACCTATTTACATCTCCCTTAGTAAGAACAGCTGATATAAGAAGTCCAGCATCTCTGCTCCTTTCGGAAGAAAGTTACTTCTTACTACTCTGTTTTTCTATAATCCTGCATTCCCAGAACAACTTTCTCAAAAAAGAATTAATTGACAACTAACTCGAGAGGCTATTCTGATATCTGGGCAAGAGGGACACAACTGCATTCCATTCATGCTTTAAACTTCACTTAAAATGTCAGTTGCAAAGTGATTTAGTGCCACAGACCTCTACATGACAACTGACCATATGAAAGTGAGGAATGTTAAGAGGAATTCTTACTCGTTCATTTAAAGCCACTTTCAGTTTCTTTATATTGCAGAGAGGCTGGAGGAGCCACACTCTATTGAAGAATTTAAATGCAAAAGTCCATTTTTAACTATCTGACTTAATTAGCATTTAAAAGATGGTCTGTACTTCTAAGGCTTGTGTTTCTGAAGTTTTCAGAGGAAACAGCTGGGAGGGGGTTGGTTTTTTAAATTTATAGGTTAATATAGAAATTTAACACACAAAGCATTGAAAAATTTAAGCCTGCTGCTCTATAGACATGTCTACTTGAAATGTTGAATGCTTGTGGAAAGAAATAAAAAAAAAAAATTTAAATCACACGTTTCAGTTATTTGGAACCATGTATAAACATTGCACCCTAATCCACCTTGCCCACAAAAATGTTAATTACCTTCTTGACATCCACGCTATCCAAGTGGTTTTGAATGAACTGCACGGTAGCGTTGAAATCAGCCTGATTAAACTCGTAGGGTACATTCCAACCCAGAGGTCCAAACTTGCGTCTCTCCTGAACGGTGGAGTGTAGAAAGGCCACAGTGTACAACATTGGTTTCCATTGTACCATGTCACTGAAATCTAGTAAATCCTGGCTGATACCTGTTGATTGTAAGTGGGCTTTATGAGAAACACAGTAATAGCACTTTTCAAAACTATTTCAAATCAGTGCTAAAACACCACTCCTACAGATTCATCTGGAATTTTCACAACTTCTAGAAAAATCCAAGGATCAAGATATGCCCTGGCATCACTGTGACCAGTTCCTCATACTAACTTACACCTTCTGTCAGTGCCTACAATGTGACCACATGATAACATAAGAAAGTCCAAAAAATGAGCAAAAATTTAATTTTAAATAATTACCACACTAGACTCACCACTGTATGTTCTCTTTAGTCCAGCTCTGAGCCCTCGTGGTGGTTCATTAGTAAACTTAATAGACATTTGAAGAAGGGTGATGGGGAACTGTTTGTGTATGTCAGTTGTCATCCACAATCGAAAGCTTTCATGGACAGTCTCTGACTCTATTACAGTGTCCATCAACTCATCCAAAAAGTCAAGTCCAAGGTGGCAGTTTTGCAGAAGTGCCCAACCACCCTAGTTTAAAACAACAGAATCTAAAGTTATCCACATTGTTTACAAACTGAAACCACTCTTTGTTTACACTGCAGTTTAGGAGCAAAGCCAATATATCTAAGCTACAGCAAAATATAGCATATTATAGTGCTTATCAGAGCTGTTAAAGGAAGAAATCCTTCACACTTCAGTGTCAGTTTTGCATCACCAGCTTACCAAATCAAACCTTAATCATTTGGTTAAGTACGTGTACAAACAGAGAACAGAATCCATAGCAATGGTACACAGGCAATTAAAATTAACAAAATCATTTTTTCTCCAAAAGATAGCTCATGGGAGCTAAGCTGTGGGCTGTTCCTTCAGGAGGCATTGTTAGCTTGTTTGGTTTTATCATCTAAACAAATGATCCTTGCTTGTCCAGTCTGGTCTTCTCTAGTAGCCCCTACCTTTTCCAGTTCAGTACATTTAAAGTGTACATGGATATGATTACAGTGCTGATAAACACTCATAAATCTTGCCTTATATATGAGAGCTCAGAAATAGCTCCACAGAGCAAGACGCTAAACCTTGCTCCTCACAAGGCTTGCAGGCTTGAAAAATAACCAAATATAAATATTACTTAACCTATTGCTATCAGTCAATAGATATCAAACTTTATCATAGGAATTATCATACTTTGTATAGACGTCTCATGTACCTCTTCCCTAAGAAGATAAGTGAGAAAGTGAGGAAAAGTAACTGCATTTCTCTCAACTAAGCAAAAGGAGTTCTTCTCCCCCATCTTTTGAATGAGTTTCTCCTCATCTGATCTGCTAATTAGCTCTTTATGTGAAGCTGTCAAACAAGAAGAATCTGAAGCAAAAGTTAAACTGGGAAGAAGCTCAAAACAGGAGCACAAGAAGTTTCATCTGCTCACATCAGCGTACCACCACCTGACAGATCCAGGCATGATAAATTGGAACATCTCACGTTTTCTTATTCATACAGGAAATTCTATTCTTTAATTCTTGTATGTTTCACTTGTAAAATGCCTGTGCTATCAGATTGTCCACATCATTTCAAAATCCAGACCATAGTAATACAAAATATTTTGCTATACAGCTATACAGTTTTTTTCAAGGTTATGTAACTATCAATAGTATATTTGGAATTAATCTTCTTCATTTAACAAAATATGTTTGTATTACTAAAAATACAAATCTGAAAAAAATGTTATTAAATGCTTGACGAAGAATATTTAACTTTCATGCAAATCCAAACAATCAATTCACTTATGTTCATCAGTCAATAAACTACAACAAAAACTCTATAATTTTATATGAAAAACCTGTATAGCTGTACAGTACCAAAAAGCTTGTTATGACACACCAAATGACTGTGAAAAGACAGTTCTATTGCTTAGAACAATTATTTATACAAATAAATATAGACTCTTGCATCAGCATTAACTACCCACCAAAAAACTATTTCATGACAGGATTTTGCATTCCTAAGTGATTAATACAGATACAGAAAACTCAGTTTGAATTTTTGTCTCTTACATGAGCCATTGTCTGCTGTAGAAGTTTACGAGCATGGATTTCTTGCCCCTGGCCCATAGAAACACAACGTGTCTCTGTCTTCAGCCTTTTCCCCAAAGCAATAATTGAATCCGTAGGATCAGAGCCCATAGAAAGAAAGCATATGAGAGGAGTACGTGGATCTGACTCTTCCCATGTCTTCTCCAAGTCCAGGATGACTCCCTCTGCATATTTCTCCCCCATAGTGTCAATGATGTATTTTCTTGCCTATATTAAAAAAAGGTAAAATTTACTTGTGACTCAAGCAACAAATTCATTTTACATGGTATTATATCGTGTTTGAAGGTGCTATTTCTAACAGCCTTATAAGACCAGTTAGAACTTAAAATACATTCACATATATTATTAAATATAACACCTAGAATTACAATATAATAAAAATTATAACCTTACTAAGACTTTAGGAAGGTTTTAATGATTTAAATGTGGTGTCTCCATTAGACAGCATAACTCCTAACCTTAAAATCCAGCTTTCCTTTCCAAATACTAGAGGAAAAAGTAGGAACGGATGGAAGATATGCTCCAAAGGTGTTAAGTCTCTCCCATCGTCATGCTCAAACAAGCAATGATTTAATAGTAGTACCAATTAAAATAACTGTCACTAAGTAGAGAATCCAGAGGAACAGGTGAAGACCATCTCTGTTATTCCTTATTTATTTATTTTGAAAGTTGTTATTCTCAAAGGGTACTTAAAGAAAGGTTACTTCACAAAAAGTTATTCAACATTGAGCATTTGATAACCATAAGTTTTCATTAAAACCATCCTAAGATGAAAGTGTATTTGCCCCCCATTAACAGAACTGAGGAACTAATTTTTCATGATCTGTTTCATTCACATGGCACTTAGCTGAGAGATTCATTATATACCACCTTGCAACCTTTTACTGACTGCAGTTACACCAATAATTGGATTTAGAGAAAGTCTCAGCAGTCACAATGTCTAAAGATTTGCATCCATAAAATTAATACCACACTTCTGGTAATGCATTCTGACTTCAGTGAACCATTGCTCTGAAACTGTCAGCAATTGCATAATTTTTGCTCTTTTGCACTGGAAAAGAACAAAGATTAAAAATAGGTTCCTAGAAGTTGACTTTTTAAAAAATAAGTTTAACCATTTAATAAAATTTTATTTTATATTTCTCTGCTTTCTAAATAGATGACTTTAAATAGACCTTAGTACAGTTTTTTTCTAAGGTGGGTCTAATTCTTTCATACAAGGAATGATCCTCAATTAAATTGTTTTCATGTTTTGTTTTCTCTCAGCCAACTGAGTTCATGAAAAGATTTTACTTCACCCTAACATGAGGATATTTGTACAATTCTAGTGAGCAATATCATCAAATAGTGAGCAAAGACAGTCAAAAATACCTTTTGAACTGATAAAGCAGAAGTGGACAAACACTTTTCAGATGAAAACCTATCAGCATAGTAAAATCACTGGCTAATATTCACTTAATATATTGGAATAGTTTTGCTAACACTGCCCTTGTAACAAATGCATAAATTGTATGAAAATAAATTTCAAAAAATGCAATGTAGAGGTCCATCACAAAAAAAAAAGTTAGCATTATATAAAAAAGTATGAACTGCAACTCTGTAACTATTATTCTACTGACACCTAAATGGACTATTTTGGCTATATAAATGTACCTGAGCTATGGTCCTGTCAGGACACCAAGATCTGATAAGAAGAAGATGTCTGAAGCAGTCCAGGGATTGACCATAGCCACTAGGAACCAGTTCTTCTTCAGGTTTCTCACTATCAAACCAGATTTTCCACTGTTTCTCTGCTCTGGAAATCTGCATTCGTACCATCAAAGGAGTAAATTTCACTAAACAGACAAGTCACATTTCAACTGCCACTAGGTCACAGACTTAATGGAGGTCAGAGGCATGTAATCCCCACACAGGCATTTGTTTAAGCAATGTTAGTACACAGATTTGGTAAGGTTATTTAAAAAAAAAAAAAAAAAAAAAAAAAAGAGAGAGAGAATAAGCTTTCAGATTTTAAGTACAAAATTGTAGAATGTAACAATACCCTTAAGTATGCATATTCTGGGGGAAAAAAAAAAAAGAGCTACCACTCAGTATCTTCCATTTATGATAAAACAGCATTGCTAGGTCAGAACACAGCCAGCAAGGCTCAGACACAGCTTTGAGAACAGCAGGTACATGTCTGCTCTCCACATGACTGTACAGAGGGTACTCTTCACGTACACCAAGCTATCTGCTTACTCCATTAGCTACCATACACTTAGTGTCCATTAAGACTATTCATACAAGTGCTGAATTTACAGAACACCCTTCTTCTAAATCTTACTCCATGTCATCAGAGAAATATTGGAACGAGCATCATAAAACATAGTGTAAGACACCACAACAGGGGCACAACAGTCTAACAACCAGAGGAAGATTCAAGTTGCATTATGTGAAGTGGATAATAGCAAGTTATACGCCAGTCTGAAAGTATATAGAGTGTGAAAAATTCTACTTCTTATTTTCCTTGGGGTTTTTTTTTTTAAGTCTTTTTATCAATGCAGGTTGCTAAGGAGTCAGGGCCACAACTGTGGCTATCTACTATCAGTTTCATTCTATTCTGTAAAAGTAAACAGTTTCCCACCACATGCCTTGATCACTGCCAAATGAGATTAATTTTAAAAACTCTTACTTACTTGATTAAGAAGATCGGAAAAATGTTTAAGCTTACTAAGCTCCACCAAGTTCAGCCAAGTCATATCCAGAATCCATTTAGCCGGCTTAGGAGGACAAGCTTTAAGGTCTAAAGAAGCACCACCTGCAAGAAATTAGAAATCAGTTATAAGTACAGCTGTTAGAGACACCCTAAAGACAAAAATCAAAAATAGGACCTATTTGGAAAACATGAACTAGACACTGCAAGACTATTTCACACGACTAAGTCTTCCCAGCTTTAAAAAGACTACTTAATAACTAAGGATGGTCAGAAAAATTTCTGACTTAGATGTCATCCAAATTTATTTTCAAATCTCATGTTTCATCTTACTTTAAAACATTTTATTTCTAATCTGTAACAGCTTCTCATTACAAGTTAGATCTATTTTTACTGTAAAAGAATAAGCTTGAGCTATGAAAAAAAAAATGAAAAAGTTTAATTTTCATGGTTTTTTTCATGTTTTTTTTAGTTGTTGTAGATAATGTAATAACTATACCAATATCTACAGTTGCCTTACTTGGAATTCAACTGAAGCTAAAAGAAAACAAGCACAAAATCAAAAGAAATTACAAGCTACAAGAATACAGATTTTTAATCATGAGGTTGCAGGGTTTCTCCACCTTGTAAAGTAACACTATCTTCAGTGAAGTAGAGTTTACAGTTTGGTTATTTTACATTATTTTTTATTATTATTATGTACTTTAAGCTTAATTTTCATTAACCAGTTTATCTTTTGAGGACTTGCTCTTTCTTTGTGCAATGTGCCTGGAAATAAATGCTTGTTGGGAAAAGATATTCTGAAGTTTCAACACGGAAAAATTCATACTTATTATCCATAAATAATTGATAATAATTTTAAATAATACAAAATTACTCCAAGCTTTCAAATGAAGATGCACTGTGCTTGCATGCAGTTAAGACTAAAGCCATGAACTTGTCAAATTCAGCTAAGAGTCTGATACTCTTTTAAACTGTTAGCATCACTTTCTGTCCCTATTTGCTTGCTTGTCCTCCCTTGCAGTTACGAAATAAACTAAAAGATGTTTAAGATAACAATAATTTCTCTAAGTCAAACACATACTTGGTGGTATTTGAGCAGCAGACATAAATATTAACTGAAAGGAGACTTAACAGTTTTCCTTTTAAATTCTCACAATGCTCAAAGCGATATTTATCGATATTCATTGTGCTGCTATAAATTAGAATTACCATGCAACGTTGTCTTTCACCCGATCAGAATGATAAGCATGTATTCTTTAACTGACTGGCTTCTCACGTGCTAAAGGAAGCAGCAGGTTGGCTAGGACACAACTACAGTGCACTCATTTCCTACAATAATATAGTCACTCTGCTTTAAATTGTTCCATAATTCCAACCTTTAACGAGTGTCAGAAATTCTTCATGGTCCACTCTGTTACTTTGTATATCAATCTTCAGTGTAAGTAATAACGTGAAAAGAAATTTGTGCTCCTCATAGAGTCCTCGGACAGCATATCTGAACACTTCATATGTCATATGTTCAATAATATTAGTAATCCTCTTGCTAGTTATAGGGCTCTTGGTAGACCTGTTGGAACAAAGGCCTGCATTTGAATGTCTGTTTGCATAGGCTTTATTAAAGGGAATATTAGGTAAAAGACAAAAAGCTGTAATTCAGAGCTTTCAAAAGATGAAAAAATAATAGATCACAAACACAGAATATCAGACAGCAAGCTACCAACAACTTCCAGACTGAAGGAGTAACAGAAAAAAAATCCTTTCTAATCAAGGCTTTCTGCATAGCTGAAAATCAACACAGTATAATGATTTTCAATTACCTAATGCCTAATTCTTAATGATTGTGTGTACATTTGAAGGTTCTTTGCCTTAGTAACTAACAGGCAAAGGCTTACTGGTATTTAAACCAACAATTCCTGCCAAGATTGTAATGAGCAACACTCTTTTTTTCTGACAATAGCTGACGACAAATCTTTATTGTACTACAACCACACCCAGGACTGGGTAAATACAGATGACACTTATTGCTAGCTAAATTACCTGGCTAGGGAGCGGTCAAAAAGCCCCAAAAACTGCCGAAGTGAAGTCTGATACATGACATTGACCATGCTCATCTCAGTAATAAGGAAGTATAATATGCTGCCTCGAGTTGCAACTGAAAGACAGGAAACAAGACAACGTTCAAAGTAGAAAAGCAGAGCAGAAAACTTTACCTCTCTACAATTACTGTGAGTTTTATCACTAATCCTGACTGAAGATCCTTTAGTTGCTCCATTCTTTACAAATCCTTTAGTTGCTCTATTCTTTACTGGCCAGAAAAGATAATTAAAATATTAACTTAATCCTTATTTATATATCAGAATAAAATATTCTTTTCTGTAATCAACACATATTATGTAAAGCCTAGTTTGCAAATACGAGCATATCTGGAGGACATGTGGATGGCATACTGTGATATTCAGATCATCAGAAGAACATACAAAAAGTAAGATGGTTTGAAGCATTGCTCTCCACAGTATCCAGACATACTCCAAGCTTCTTGAGTATCCAAACACATTTCTCTTTACAGACTTTTAGAGAGCAATGATGAACTATATTGATTAACTTACCCAGCACTGATTTAACTTACTTTCAGCAGTCATTTAGTTTTAAATACAAGGTTTTTACAAAATCTGCAATGATTTCTGGTATGCTACCTGTAGCATTTTACACATTTCCTAAAATGCAGGTATAACAATTCCAGAGAGTATTTTTTTCCACTTTTTTTCATGTTTTCACCTGTCAGTTAAAAGCCAAAAGACTGATGAAATGTGCCTGTTGTAATACCAGAAGGATCATGACAGGATAAACAAAGCATTCATCCAAACAGACACAAAAAGGATTTATGATTATACTGGCCCCCAACAAGAATGTCAACATGTTGAACTCAAACATATTTACCCAAATACCTTAATGACTGGTTTCATTGACAGTCCAGAAAAAGCATCAACATTTTAACAGCTAAGAAAAAACAACTAAGCCCTTCCAAGTTTCTTACTCAGTAGACTAGATGGACAGGCACACTTCCATATAGAAGCTTAGGGAGAGGACAGATAATTCCATTTTATAAATTCCACACAAAGCATAATATTAAACTATTTTTTCCACCATAGCTCAATATGACAATTCCTAGATAAATTCTACTTCCAGGAAAACACAAATCCATCCTACCCATTATGGTGGAGTCTCATCCTACCATTTCTCTTACTCTAAGTATTGGTGTTTTAACTGTGCACACCAGTCATTTGTTTTTCATCACTACCCTCACTCACCAGGTCTGTATTCTTCACGGGCCGAGTTGATCTGCACTTCAGTTTCAGCAGAAGTTTGCAGTTTCTGTGTTACCTCCTCAGCAGTCTTCTTAGTGTTACTCAATACAACTATTAGACTCTCATCATCTGCCAGAGAATTCTTAGTGCTTGTAAGTCGGAACAAAAGGTTATCTTCTAGGTCTTTAATCCTCCTTTTGTTCGTAGTCACATCTTCAATAAGATCTGTTCTTTCTTTTTCTAACTCCTGATGGAATACATGGCAATATTTGGAAAACAGAAAAGTAATCAAAAATAAGATAAAAATAAACCAGTATTTAGTTTTAAAAGTATTGATCTTACAGAAACAGTGTAGGTCAAGAGTAATTGCACTAATTTAGGGAAATGATTCCAGTGGAACATCTGACAGCAGTTCTGTTGCCAGCTTTCTGAACCAGCTACATAAGTATGCATTAACAAATCATTTCAACAAGTAACTATGGCGCATGCTCATATTATGCTTTAATAGAGTTATAAATGCAGAATAATAATTGATTTTCTTCTCTTTCTGTTTCAAAGGCAAGTGCAAACATCTTTCCAGATACTGAATTTTATTTCACTGCATCTAAGGCGATCCTCATTTATGCCCCATTTTCCAAACTACAGTGTCAGTAATAATGAGCATGCTTAGTCAATGAATTAAGCACCAAATATTTAAAGAATGCATCTAAAAATAATACTCCATCAAACTGGGATAACGTCAGTCTCTCACTAAAATGCTTCACTGATTAAGAAAAGAAAGCATGTAGAACTCAAGTTACTTCACTAGAAGTATTTAGTTGATTACTTTTAGTAATACACAGTACGTGGTTTAAATCCCTACTTTGTTCTCCAATGGTCATATATAAAAGATGGATACCTGTTGATTAACATCTTTACATTTAAAAGCAAGACAACAACAACAAAAACTCCTTAAAATATCTAGAAAAATACATTCCTCAGAGATAAAAGGCCTTTCATTTCATTCTTACATGACTCTCTAAAATTAAACTTTAAAAAACTTATCACAAATAAATCCCTCAGAGATAAAAATACTCCATTGAAACAATATAAAATATTTCAATACACTGACAGAAAAATACAGAAAAAGGGAGAGGATGGGTTAAGAGTCTTTCATAAGATAAGGATAATATAAATCCTATGAATCAATAAGTAAGCCAGTTGGTAGAGATATTAGCTACACCTACAGAAGTACTCCGTCACTGTTTACAAAGCTGTGGTGGATAGTTTTAACAAGGTCTCTCCAAAGTTGAAAGCTGAGTGTTCATTCCACCTCTGCCAAGTCCACTTCAGCACTGCAGACAGGCTGCTACTATTCTAAAGAACCAGAAACAAACCTGTGGATCACATGAACTCTCATACAGCCCTAGAGGCATTATGAACCTGAGACCATCCCAAAGTTTAAAGAAAGGTTTTTATACTCCCATTTGAGTAACTTTCATTTATACAAATTGCAAGACTCTTACAACTTTTAAATTTTGGTTTGTTTTCCCATATTCTAAACTTGTGGTCTTCTCACTCCTACACTCTGCTAGCATCTCTAAGTAATTCAAGCATTAAATTCTTGTAAAGAAAGTCTTGTCATTTTAAAAATATTTTTTTTTTAAATCATCTTCATTTCATTATCAGATTTAGATTCTTTTCTTGTCACTGTACAAAAGGTATATTGAAACATCATCATCAGTAGAAAAGATATATTGAGACCTTTGTCATAGAAGTGTAAATGTCACGTAATTTAGATGTGCATACAGATTCAAAAGATTCGTGACAAAAACTGATAAAAAAGACAAGAAGACTACAGTTAACCCATTTCAATCAACTGATGCCTAATGGAACTAAAGAATAGCAGGTAGCAATTATGAAACAAGGCAAGCATTATGCAAGTTTGATGAAGCAGAAAATTTTTAAAAGTATAGCATCAAAAGAATGTTAAAGTATCCAATTAAATATAATAATTTTCATGCTGAGAAACCATTCTGAGCCAAATTAAATTTAATGTTTTGCTGAGTTCAGTTTAAATGGGTAAACATATTTTAGAGTTCAATGCATTTAAAAAACAATAAGCTAAGTTTTCTTCAGAAGAAGAGCCTGAGAAACAAGGTGGAAACAGAGTTACCAAAACAGAGTAAATGAAATAACCTTAAGACAAAAACCTCAGTGAAAAATCCATCAATTAAGATTTTAGAATACTTTTTGCAGATCAGGAAAGGTGCACAGTTAAAAGTTTTGTGCATGTCTTCAAAAATTTCCAGTCATAACGTCCAGGATGTAAAAAAAATTAGCCTAGTTACCATATACATAAATTCAAAGAACTTGCACCAAAGAGGCGATTTCAAATCCAGCTTTATGGAACTGCTTTCACAAGCTGATGTCATTTTACAGGCTGTACCAAAGAATGTTAGGTCTCTTTAACATTCATAAAATATGAAAGCTGCTACATAGCTAATATCATTCTGCCACAAAATAATTCACAAGTGCAAGAATTTGCATCAGTTCTTCCTTATAAAACTTGGGTCTTTTGCCACCACAAATCCTGAAATATGAATGTGAAAATTCAAAAAGTCATAAATACGTTTTGGATATTATAACTCCATTACTAATCTGACAAATCTATTTCTACGACACTAAATATTTTTTTTGTCAAATTACATAACAGCCAATGTATCAAAACAATCATACTAAAACAGTATAAATTCTACTGCATTCATATATATATCAAATCTCTCAAACCCAATTATTCTAATAAATAGGGTAGAATTAAATTTATACAGATATACCAGCTACTCTTTGACCTTCTTATGCTTAGCTCACATCTTGCAAATTTGTTTAACATACTGGTGGAAAATAAGAAATCAGCACCTGTATTGTTATCAGTAATCAGTCAGTTCTTTGAAATTTATGCCACATACATTCTACCAATGGGCACACCAGACAACACAAGAATGAAAAGTCAGATATTGCAGAATCTTTAAATGATGTGTTGTAAACCCTCCTTTTCCTCACTGCATGTCTAAATCTCATTCGTCCTAAGTGCAGAAACATATTAGAGACAGTGGAATGGCAAGAAGGATATAAATGTATCTCAAAACCTTGAAGAACACTGACTTCAGGTAAATAATGTCTGCTCTTTTTGAGGCAGAATTTGCACACATACATTCTAACACTGGGTATCATCAAGCAGTCATAGTGCTTGGAACATGTGGCAAACTGTCTCACAGTTAGAAAATTCCATCTCCCTACAAAAGGCTACAAGAAGGTAGCAAGAATCCAGACACTTAAGAAGGAAATCTCCAGATTCCCAAAAGTACATAATTAGATATCACAGAAAAAACAGGTTTTGGACAGTGGGATATGTCCAGATTGACTCGTCAGGGAATCTTGAACCACAGGGTGCAAAAACAGAGGCCAAGCAAACTGGAAAGTGGTAAATATATTCTATGAAAGTCTCCTTGCCTGTCAAGTGGTTCACTTGACATTTATTTGGAAGAACTATGCCTAGATGGTCACAAACAAAGCAGTAGTGAGTATACCACTCTGAGAAGCTGGCCCTGAGCGCATAGTATGTCCACCCATGAGACATTCCCAGTTAGTGGCAAAGATACCATAGAATAGTAGAATCATTTTAGTTTGGAAGAAACCTCAAGAAAAGAACTAGTAAAACCCCTACTCAAAGCATGTCTAAAATGGTCAGTTGCTCAGGCCCATATCCAGTTGAGTTTAGAACCCCTCCAAGAATGGAGAGTCCACAACAGCCCTGGGTAATCTGTTCTTGTTTTTGACCACTGGCAATGTAATAATTTTTCTTCTAATATCTGATTAGAATTTCCCACGTTCCAATTTGAATTCATTAGTTCTCAGTCTACTCCTTTGCACCCCTAAGAAAAATTAAGCTCCTATCTTTTCTGTGTCCTCCAAGCAGGCATGCAGCAACTGGAACAACTGGAGGAGTTTGCAGACAAAATGACTGTCATCTTGCAGGATGTACTGTACTGCAGGGTCCAAAAGTGGAGTTTGGCATAAGGCTTTATGAAGATACACGTCACAGTGTGTTTCAGACAGACAGTGATAATCCTGTTACATAGTAAGTTGACAAGCTGTCACTGGTTGAAGAGAAGACGATGGTTCAGTGAAGCTGTCTGACAAAATATAAGCCTCAACAGACTGAGTATTATTTCTCTCATGCAAACCATGGAGTGATCAGGAATGAAATGCAACTACTTGACATTTACAAGATGACTGAGGTCATTACGGAGGAATGTCTTACATTGGGAGGAGGTGGGGGAGGAGCATGTGAGGACCTCAACAGATGCCACAATGCAGGATCAAACAGGTTCCTCTCTAGCAAAGATTTACTGGAAGCATTGCCAAAATCTTAGTAAATATGCAGTCAAAAATGCATAATGTCTCATTTGACTTCAACATTACCTGACCTTATAGTTACAGGGATTAGGTTTCCAATAGTTCAAAAGACCAAGCAGCCTCCCTCCAGAAATGCTGGTGGCATGTTCATAAGGATTGAAACTTGGACTGTCTCAGCTAATACACCTGCAGTATTAAAACAGGCAGTTACCCCATTTCCCCTTAGAGCTAGGCAGTAACTAAGTCTGGATCCTTTGAACGAGGCTATGTTGCCATGAGTAGATATATGTTGTCAGTGTGCAGACAGAAGAAAATCAGGTTTTATTGCAGGCCTTTTTCCTCTTCACAGGCCATTCTTATGAGGTTATAATGGAGGCAGGAAAACTAAGGTGAGTATGGTACAGCAGTGATAATAAAGACAAATAGAAACTTCCACTTGAATGAGTCCATTTCTTCTGTCCCAGTTTTTAAATCATCATAAATAGCTTATATTAAGAATAATCGCAAGAAAGAGAGAGAGACAGAAAGTTACCCTGCAATATGGAAACAGTAATAAATTTAAATTAATCTTTTACCTGTTTCTCTGTGAGAATGACTCTGCCTAAGAGTTGATTTTCAAGACCTTTCAGGGTCACAGTAAAGTCAATGATGGAGGTTTGAGCACTAATTTCAGGAGAATACCCTGGATTTGGCAGTTTTGTAGTAATGTAAAGTCTGAAGCCATTCATAACATCTACTTCCTTATCACCAACCTTCACCTTAAGAAAAGTGTTAAAAAGAAGTCTTAAGATATCAAGAATCCATACACACTCCTTCAAATACTGCATGTAGAATCAAAGGTTAAGTTTTTCTGTTCAAGGCGTAAAAATACAACTTTAAATTATATGTCTGATGCAAAGAATTTGTTGAGAATATCTATCTATGGAGCACACTAAATGACTCCTTCACAGATTATTTCAATTTTAAAAAATAGTCACAAGCAAAGGGATAAGAAAATCTACAGATTAAATATATTAACTATTTGTGATCTTAAACTCTTTTTTGGTATTAACGTGAACCAAATTTAAATATGAGTTTAATATTTCATAGTCATATACTTATTAAGTTTTTTTGTGGAGGGCAAGGCATCGGGGAGCGGTGTGTTTCCACTTCTTTGCTCATTTGTTTGAATCTTACCTTGTTGGCTAAACCTGTTTTAATGAAATTTCTTTCCAAAACATTATCCAGTGTAGGGTCAAGCTCTTCTCCAACATCTTCTATCAAAAGAGGTCTTCCTAATGAAAGGCTGTCTTCTAAATGATTTTTAAAATATTTGTGATTCAAAGAAGTGATCTAAAAATACAATCATGGACATATATGTTATGCCCAGTTATCCTATGAGTGCAGCTAGACCAGAAATTCACAGGAACCTTTTATCACCTCCAATTTTATCTTGAATAACATCCCCAAGTCAAACTGTAAAAACATCAATTCCAAGATTAGGGTCCATTTTTTTTTTCTTCTTGAAAATTAGGGGGTTATATGCACAGAGAATGGGGAGCATACACAGGAGGAGCTGTAGATCTGCACTAGGTTGCATGACTATCATAAAATTGCCATCACTGGAACATGGTGGGACAGCTCCCATGACTGGAATGTTGTCATGGATGGCTGTACACTGTTGAGGAAAGACAGACCAACAAGGCGAGGCGGTGGTGTTGCCCTTTATGTGTGAGAGCAACTGAGATGTTCTGAGTCCTGTGCGTGGGGAGAGGCGGAACAGGTTGAACGCTTGTGGGTACGAATTCAGGGACACGCAAAGGGGGGTGAAACTGTTGTGGGAGCCTACTATAGACCACCAAACCAAGAAGATGTTGATGGGGCCTTCTACAGACAACTGGAGGTAGCCTCTAGAACACAATCCTTGGTATTCATGGGGACATCAGTCACCCTGATATTTGTTGGGAAGCCCACACAGCTAGGCATGTTCAGTCAAAAAGGCTCTTGCAGTGCATTGATGGTAACTTCTTAATGCAGGCAGTGGAGGAACCAATGAGAAAAGGCACACTGCTGGACCTTGTATCAACGAATAAAGAAGGGCTGGTTAGGGGCCATTGATACAGTTCCCCATAACATCCTCCTGAGCAAGCTGCAAAAATCTGAGCTAGAGGAACAGGCAGT